CGAAAAACGAAAAAAATATCTCTATCTTGAATTTGTTATGTCCGTTTGTATGACAGTTACATGCTAAAGTGGTCCGATCTGAACAATGCCTAATGGTTCGATACTGTTTGCAACAGCTTCTTGGGGGAAAAGAGCGAAGGCAAAATCTATATCTTAAGAACTGAGGGACTTGTTCTAATTAATTCTGTTGTTCTGAATTGAATACTCGTAAATATGTATGTAAATGTTTATTTTTCCCATTGAAAAAAAAAAAAAAAATCGCAACAAAACAGTAAATTTTTTTTACTTTCTGCTGTTAAGTCAAATATATACATATGATGTATTTATTCTTTTTGGTTTAACTCGTTTTCTTTGTGCGTCATACTCATTACAGTACTTTAATACCATATCTCCATTCACCCATGCAAATTGCTTGTGTGTGGTCATTGCTACTGTTAATCGGCTGCACTGCATTTGCACTTTATTGTTCTTATTTTTGCTGCGATTTCATTGCCAGTACCAGCCAGTTGCACATCTTATCTCTGCGGGTATGCTTGGTATACTCGTATGATGCGTTCCGCCCTTCTGTTGTATTTTCGCCATGAAGGGAAATGTTTAGTTATAAAATTTGTTTCTCTTATATATTTTTGAAATCACTTAACTGCCATGAAAAACTGAATGAAAGATAATATTATATAATTCTAAAAAAATGATTCTAAGCAATTATGTTTTTTTCTTTTATATTTTTGCTTTTATCACTTATCCTGATGTTGCGTTACAAATTTGATATACATAAGTTTTTTTTTTCATCATTTGTCTTGGTTTTCATACAAATGAAGAGCGGCATCTATTCCATGTACTATCTATCTACATACATCTGCATATGTGCAGCTCTCTACATTATTATAAGATTTGACGACTCAATTTACTTTAATATACAGGAACAAYTATAGCTCTGCGCTAGACAAGTCACACTTGAAAACATACAAACCTACTCAAATAATCTGCATTTATCGCGGTTTCGTTTTACATTCTATGAATCATAATCATTACTTCTTTTTATTTATTTGCTTTTTTTCGTGACTAGTTTTTATTTTCGCTGATCCAACAAGTAGTCGTTGACGACGACGATTCGATTCGCTTGATTTCCGTGGAAGAAAACCAAGTGCGAATGCTTTGCACAAAGAAATTGATAATAATATTGACTGACAACTATTAAATAAACAAGCTGCATAAGGGAAATCAAGACTTAGACATACAATTACTCTCATTTACCCTCTGTCGCAAAGCTACGTTATTTTTAGAGCCTAACAAGTGTGCATGTGTTGAAATTTGCAGTCTTAGCACCATTAATATACTATCAGTTTTTTTGATTTCACTTCATATTAAATAAAATGTAATTTTGTAGCAAGTTTTAAACTAAAAGTTCGCTAAACTTTGGAAGTCTGTCCTAGAAAAGTTGTTATCACATGTTTTATTTATACGCAATTATGTGGGATTTAAAATCTGATTTGCTAGTATCTACATACGTATATTTGTAGAAATGAAAAGCATTGATAGTAAATAAACAATAGTCGAAGAGATTTCCACGATTTCAACATAAGTTGAAAACATAAAGTGCTTAAATGGAACGTATTGCCTTCACTACTATAACCTATAAACAATACACATATATTCTCACAAAAGCATTTAAAATAAAAATTCTTTAATATTTTTGTGAACGAGAAAAAATGGAAAGTTTACAGACAAGCAGATTACTTCGTATTTAGTTAAGCTTGTTTTACAAATAGTTTTTGTGTTTCGAACTATTTATTTATCATATTACGTGTATGTGCATATTGAACTAATAATTTGCAAGTTTTTAGGTTTTATTTGCTATCATTTCTTCTATAACAAAATATGTAAATAAACAACAGGTGACACAGGGTGACTTATAAAAATATAAATTTCCTCACATAATTCCTACTTTTTTTGAATTCATATGGGTACCACTGTTTCAGCTGAGAAATTTAAATTCATTTTTAATTTAAAAATGATTTAGTTTAAAGCTCTAATTACCGTACTATTAAAATAATATAAAAATAGAATTATTTTTTAATGAGAAAGTGTATAATATGAGAATAACTAAAAATATTTTAGTAAAATATTAACTATTTTATTTTATAAATTTATTTCAAATATGATTTTAATATGTTTTTCGAAGTGTTTCATATATTGATTATAATTATATAATATATGTTTTCTTATGATTATAGCCGCCCAATTCGATGTGAGTCTGGACAATGCAAAATTACCTGCTGATGGAGCAGCATCAGTAGCACCAGTTGTTGCAAAGGATGAAGGTGTAGAAAAACCGAAATCTACCACGCCAACCACGACGTCCAGCACAAGTTCGACAACCACTACAACTTCAACAACTACTACACCAGCACCTACAACAGCAGCGCCGACCACCACTACAGTGGCACCAACTACACCGGCTGCACCCAACACCACTACTGTAGCGCCAATAACAACAACACCTGCGCCAGCGCCATTCCCAGCACCAGAGATTGGCATGTGGAACTCCAGCTGTATTATTATGCACTTTGCTGCACAGTTGAATGTTACCTATGAGACCAAAGGTGGGACAATTTTTTATTAATATTACAGAAATATTATTATTTGATAAAGAAATATTTATGTGAATTCGATTTAYAATACGGCACCCTATTGTAGTGAAAAATATCTCATTGTTGCCACATCAAGAACTTCGTGCCCAGGATAAATTGTCCTCGTATCCCATTTTCCCTTCCCTTTTTATATTTACTTAAATATTTGTAATAGGATTTTCAAATTCTTTATTACAGACAACAAAACTGCTTCCCGCTTATACAATATCCCCAAGGATGCCAAGGTCGAAGACTCCAATTGCGCCAACATTTCACAAACGATTCATATTACTTGGGGACCTGTTGAAGCCGTACACTCTATGGTACTACAATTCGATATGGTTAACAAGACTAGCGAGTTGAAACAGATCTACATTACTTTACCACTCACCAGTGATCACTTCCCTGATGCTAAGGGTAAATAAATATTTGTAGTTATAAATAACTGTTGCTAACGAACATATTTTGTAGATAACGAGACTATCCAACTGATCCATACTGGTGATGAGTTCGTTACCCCGGTACAAATGTCTTACCATTGCACACGTGCACAAAAATTCAACATGACTGAGGTAATGCAAGATAGCAAAGTGATTGGCACCATTACGCTGAGCAATGTACAAACCGAGGCATTCATCACGGATCATCGTAACACCTTCTCTACAGCCATGGATTGTGATGGGCCGAAAACAATGGATATTGTACCCATTGCTGTCGGCATTGCCATGGCCGCACTCATACTAATCGTATTGATTTCGTACTTGTGTGCGCGCCGTCGTTCCACATCGCGTGGCTACATGAGCTTCTAAGCGATTAGCATGTTGCTTGTTTGGCGTTAGTGACAGTAATTATATATGTAGGCATAGGCGGTCGTAGATTTTGTGGGGGCATGCTGGGTGGTYATTTTTTGTATAGGGTTATACTGCGAAAAAAATTTCTTTTAATTCGAGCAGGAAAAAATTATAGCGTTTTTCATATTTTTTTATTTTTGTTTGAGAGAGAGAATGAGCAAAAAGATTGAATTGCCGAGTTTTGATTTACTTTGTCACGTAACATACAAAAAAGGAAAGAATATGCAAAATAACAACTAAAAACAGCAAAATAATAGAAAAAGAAACACAGCAGGCAATTAAGATATTCATTCAATAACAAAAAACAGTAAAAACGAGCGTAATACAAACAAGTAAATGCACTGCAATTAGCAATTTTAACCCAACAGACTTTTAATAAACACTAAGTACAGTTATAATTCTATAGCAAACAGGGTGCAGTTACAAAAAATATTAAAATATAATAGGCGGACCATTCTGTCCAGCAAATAAGTACTTTAGTTTTGCACGCCCAATACTGTAGTGCAGAAATTTTTTTTTTCAGATTTTATTTTTTTAAACGGTTATATGTTTTTCTTTTATTATTTTATAGCTCTTACTCAAAACGATTTAGTGCGCATATGCAAAATATATTAATTAGTAACATTATATACAAGTATGAAACGAATTCTTTTGTTTAGTAAGTTTGTCGTGAACTWGCGAGACGTGACTTCTAAAAACGCCTTCCTTTCTACATACAAAAATGTTTTGTTCTTTTATAAATAACCTTTTACAATTAAATATTTGAAAATAGCTATATATACAAACACTTTAAAAATCTTCACCAACAACAACATCAATATTTTAAAGCATGAAGAGAAAGAAAAACAATAACAAACAGAAAAAAAACAATAGTATCTATAAGCACGCTTCTATACTTTATGAAACGGTTCTTATTATTCTATATCTACATATGTATTTGTATTTTAATATTTTAAAGAATTGGCGAATCATTGTATGTACTTCAGTGCATAATTGAAGTATGTGTATATGCTATTATGATTTCATTACAAATTACAAATACAACTATTTAATATATGTAATTTTTTATTGCATATCGTTGTGTAATCACAAAAAATTTACCAAACATCTCAGTAATGTATATGAAATCTATGAAGAAAATTAGTTTAAAATTAGGTACTTGGCATATATATTTTCATTAAAAATTTTTATTGWAAAATTTAAACTTGGCCTTAAATAAAGTGAGGTAACCAAACGGTATGCATTTTTTTATTAGGAACTAATTCTGTCCAAAATAGACATTCAAGGTTTTCATAAAATTTCAAGCTTACTTCGGTCGACTTTAGGTGCTTTAGCATGTTGAAATAACATTAGGGCCAACGGATTTGGACGTTTTTGCCTTGTTGTTGACACACTAAACCTCCTCAACGGTGAAAGTAAGTGATGTCCGGTCTTTTGATATTTTGCAAAGCTGTCGAGTAATACATCGTTTGGCTTTGTTTASCTACGGGCAGTGTAAATTGCCGGATAAAATAGCTTGCGCACTTTTTCGKGTCCGAAGAGGCRTCAYCATTGAATTGGATCTCAACTCGGTCATCATGTCTCTTCGGATTAGCAAAATTTCAGATGCTTTATCCATTTTGTCCGCTTATGTTGGTTTACCATTTCCTAAATCTGCAAATTGAGATCCCTTATTCCCTGTTATTCCGGACAGGGATTGGCCTGGTGTAAGGTTTCGCTCTCGTTAGCTAAAACAGCTTCTTCGGCTGGAAAATTAGGGTGGATTTCCGCAATTCTTGCAGCCGGAATGAAGCGAGCGGCAGCTGCTGCGATCACCTTGCGGAATCGRCGTTCGCCAACGATTACGTCCGTAGGAATGGGTAACGCAGTGAAGGTGTTCTCAGTAAATTCTGTGAAGCCGACCCAGTTAGCTTTATTAAGGTTAACAAAGGTGCGGTTGTCCACGGAAATAAAGTCGTGAGGTTTCTCGATCGAGATAATTATGGGCTGATGGTCTGATGCGAGAGTTAATATAGGACTTCAGGTTATGCTATTTATCAGACCACCACTAGCAATGGTAATATCGAACGAGCTATTACAGGTGCCCATAATTCTGGTGGTGGAATGCCAAAGATCGTGGTGTGCGTTAAAGTCGCCTAGTACCAAACGGTTTTCACCACGAATTAGCGCACCTATATTCGGGTGATATCGTGTAGGGCAACTGAATATTTCGAGCTCGACATCGCCTCACCTCACTAGCTATACCCTGACATTCTAATATGATCCGTCTATAGACCGTAGAGGTCCTCTGTTCAATCGGGTGGAGTTCCGCCACAGTGCGTGAATTTGGTGCATATTGCACAGCCGTAGAAGTTAAGGTCGTAGTAGCGCGTTGGCAGCATGGGTCGTAATTCGTGGTCTACTCCTTATCTTAAGGCCTGAGCAGGTCTTAAGATGGCTACATCTATGGTATGTATTTCACCTAACCAAGGAGACATTTGGATGGTGGTGCAACAGAAAAAATYCTCCAGGCGCAGATCTTCGTGGTATTCAAATGCTTATAAGAAAAAATTGTCGTCCGTCAGTCAATTTGATGACCAGATCTATGATATATAGCTCAACGAAACCATAGTCACGGGTATAATACTTAATGGGATGCCTTATATGGTTAAGCTCCTGGTAGTTAGAGAAACCACTTCAGTCTAGAGCACTGGATGTAGAGATTCGAAGTAAAAACTCCTTCGGGTTTCTTTCACTTCGTTAGTGATAAGACGGCTTATAAGCCCACAAGAAAGGGCACTTTTCTCATATCATTGAACTATAGGGTACGAGCATCATTGTTCCTTGGTGGACCTCAATGTTTTCAGCAAAGTTTTTCTTTATGTWGTAAGAAAGTTGTAATATTTTTGGTTGGCCACTTCTTCTGTTTCCGTGCCGATTTCAGCATCTGGGGTCTTCCAAAGAATGTGGCCTATCGGACATCAGTTTTTGCCCTTTAATAGTTTCAGTACGAATGTCGTTTTCGCTGAACTCTTTTATTAACTAAAAAGCACTTGATTYCTTACAGTTTTTGGTTTTGGGTTAGAGTATTCTGTAGATGATTTGTAGGCGTTAATGAATATTTGACATTCCTGAAAGTTGGAGACCTTTCATGTTCTGACGCATACGGATAATATGAGTTTTGTGCCTCAGAGGCTGTCGAAGAAATGGATTTCATGATTGTCAATCCTTATTTGTCATTTGATAGAGTGTTTGGTCTTCATTATCTTCGTTTTTKCGATGTTTTTCTCAAGTACGACAGCGCTTATCATCTTGACTAGAGCGACGGAGGGGTATTTAGTCCAAAGAGTATAGCAAATTCGTTAGTTTAGAAGGCCAAAAGGTAGTTTAACACATCCACCATTTAACAAAAGTAAAGAGGAAAGCACTTACTTAAAGTCACGGGAACTCGGCAGTCGTGACAGGGCTGATTCTCTTCTTCGTAGGATGTGAACCATAAATGAACTCAGTGGTTGAAACTCAACACCCAGCATATTCGACTTTTGACTATAGACAKACTTACAAGTCTGGAATTGGCGTGGGTGTTATCTCTCTTAAAAGAAACTACTCTCCGAACCTTCGTGTCCCTGCCATGCAAAACTCCGAATACCTTCTAGATTCAAGTTGACTCTTTTTACCGATTGGAAGAAGGCATATACACTGCTTCAGATTAATTGTRGACTTTCTGAAGGAGCTCTCTATGAGCCAAATATATTCTCCCTAAATGTTTAAACTCTTATCTATATTTGATATTGGGTTAAAGTACACCKTAAGACTTTGCTGATATAGGGGCGCATAAAAATTCGCATGGAATTTTAATAAAGTCACCCATTGCGGCAGCACAACATTTCAATTGAGTGAAATTTCATAGCTTCAGCGTAACCATAACAATTCGATTTGATGCGGTGCAATAAAAATTGGAAAACTTCGGCCAAAAGGCGATGAAGCAAAGTAGGGAGGGCCACAAACAGCAAACCAGTCAAATAACCGCGACTAAAGGCGAGACTGCACGACCTGATTTCAATAGCCGACATACTAACTAACTGGAATGCTCGTTGGAAATTGTGACTGCAGGCAAATGCCCAGCATTCGCTTGGTTAGAGAGAAAATGAGAAGAAGCAAAAGGTGGCGGACGCAAATGCCACATAAACGGCATGATTGTTTCCGGGCTCACTTGGAGCGTGATGTTGTACGCCTGTGTGTATGCAATAAAAATTTGAAAGGCTATTGCCCTTTTATTTTTAATGGCTACAAAGGGCGATGTGAAGAGGCGCTGTTGGGTTATCGAAAGTGATTTGAAGGAACGCATTGAAGGCGATTAAATATTCATGAGCAATATGGTAATATGCGTACTTATGGCGTGCTCCTGCGACATCAGTGGCTCACCAGAAATTGCACGACAGATTTAATATTGTTTGTTTAACTTTTGTTTTAATAAGTCTGCTCGCCCTCAATTGGTTTCCTGAAAATCTACTTAAGTCTGTGCCATATTTTTTTGCACTTAACTTTGTGGAGAATATTTTGAGTGTTTTAAAAATAGTGGCATATATTAATAATAACTAAGTATGATGCTTGTGGTTTCACTAATAACTAATTTTTTACTTTAGAAAGAGTGTGAAAAAAATGTTCGCAGCAAAGCTATTTACAGAGTATTTTGCTTCCGAAGGCTGTGTCATCAATYACCACTGAACACAGACATATTCGGTATTAAAATTCAAACTACAACCCGTTCTACCGATTCTATGGAATTTCTTTAAAATCGTTCCTTCATACAAAACTACTTACAATATACTTATATATATTGGAGGATAGAGCCATGTATAGAAGTTCCCGAAGGTGAGGAAAGTTCTCTGTGTGACATTCCCTTGGGAATGTCCAGAAACGATTATTTTAYATATGGCTCAAGCAGCTCACGGTTTATGGTCGTAGACCAAGTACTCGAGGTAGCCAAAAACATCCGTTTGAAGCCACCCCTYTTGATGGCGACCATGGCAAACGTATTAAGGATTACGATTTAAGGGCATGCATCAGGAATGGCAAGAGTTAAGACCAACATCATTGGTTACCAAAATCATTTCGGTCAAAACCCACTAGATACTAAGGTCCACATATTCGGTACTTAGTGGCTTGAACAGTTTTGGTTAGATTTGGACAATTTTTGGTCTCAAGATGGTAAACTTTAAAGAAATTAATAGTGCAAAGTTTTATCCGTTTTATATCAATTGGTTCAAGGCTTGCGTACAGGAAAGTGAAAGAATTTAATGGAATGGAATTGTGTTACATAGAAATAGTAAAAGAAGAATGCCATGTACTAAATTTAATCGAAATTAGTTCGGGCGGGTTCCGAGATATGCAATTTAACCAAAARGTGGGTAGTTCCAACAAACATCGTCCAATTTCCATACCGGCTCTCATATTTAGGTACTGATTTATTACGTTTTTAGTTGTTTTTAATAGCACGGATATATGGGGAGGGGGTTATCTTTATCCACCTTCACTCTGTCCGTAGGAGAGAATATTTGTGCTGGAAGAATTTGGTTATTGAATCTTTATTCGTTTAAGAAATATATACATTAAACGTATTAGAGAGGGGCCACGTCCAATTTTTAAACAGTTTTTGTCCCTTGCGTTTTGTGGGCATGGTAGGGGATTGATTACACCTATCTACAAACTCGTAAAATTTTTTTACTAAAGACGTTACAGCTTGCACATACGGACTGGCA